TTGTCGCAAACCTTTTTTATGCAAATTCAAAACGAGTTGACGTTTGATATCCATTGTTGTTGCAAAGTAAACAAGAACTGCGCACTAATGTGCATCATCACAGTACATAGCCAAAACATGAATAAACATAACGGTAAACAAAAGAGTGATTGGAAAGCAATATAGTTGTAGCTACGTAGTTACAAAAAAAATATCAGTTTCACTGGCACACCCTGTATATAAAGTTTCGGGGGGGGAGGTTATAGTGTTCGCAAATATTTGTGTACAGCGTACAATATCAATGGATACAGTATCCATTGATATATTTTTATCTAATGTTATTTATCTTGATTCTAAAAATGTTCAAAAAACTTAATACAAAAAATATAATGTTCAACATTCATAAAGAGATCATCAAAAATCATTCCTTGATCATAAAGAGATCATCAAAAATCATTCCTTGATGTGATTGGACGCTGGATTAATGAATAAACCACCCAACATCCAATCAACTTAATGAATTAAACTTCAGGATAAGAAATGTCAACAATTCGAACTGAAATAAAAATGCAAGCAAAAAATAGAATACATGTTTTAACTGAAAATTGAAACTCGTTGATCTGTCTTGTCAAATCCAAAATGAATCAGATGTTTCATCAATCATCCAATATTTTTATATACTAAGCGAATACTTCACATGAAATATCAAATGAGATGTACAGTTTTTATCCATTTATTCGTATTTTTGAAAACCAACTAATTTATTTATCCATAAAATATAACTCATCCATGGATAAACTAACATCTATTCTATCCATGGATGCACTATAACTCTCCTCTATCCAAGTGGATCTCTCTCTCTTTCTTTTCTTCATGAATAAATTTATGATGGATGGTGGATGTACCTTATCCTAACCGGGGATTGCTTTGACATATTTATATGTAAACGTCAGTGGCATCTAAACCGAAAACGCCATCTTTGGTTACACACCAGTAGCTATTTTTGTGACAAAATTTTCACTTTAATTTAAAATAAAATAAAAGAATTTAATTTTAATCCCACATTTTTTGATAAAAAAATCCTCATTTAAATTATTGAAACCATATTTAAAATCATTTGTTGAAACAAAATTCATTTAATTATAATTATAATTGCCATCGATTTGAAGGAGCGAAATTGATAGTACACTGTAGAGCTAGGGGGATTCCGCGCGTATTTACGTACCAAAATTTAACTTCATTCTTAAAATCTCATAAAAATTCAAATATCTCACCGTATCTGACAATATCCGTAAGTATTCACCGATATCCACCATGTAGGATACTTCAAATTTTGTCGAATATTTTGACATTTTTAGAATATGGGCGAATATGAGATAATAATGAATGGTGGTGAATTTTTGGCGCTGCAGACTGTCAGCAACTGCATTAGTGACATTAAAATATTTATAATAGGTGAATTATTGTGACAGCTTCTAAGCTGTTATGGTAGTTGTTTGTTACATGTGTGTAAGTTTTTGCATTACAAAGCAAAATTGAAATGTGCCATTTGCAATGGAACGGTTCTGGCGTGAGTATCAAAACTTCTACGAATATAAAATTCCAAAAATTATTAAATATATTTTAGCTGTCTGTGCAATCGATAGAGCGTCATTAAGTAATTTAAATGAACAAAGTATAAAAGAGATTGAACAAATAGTTAATCAGAACAAATCAATATATTTTTTAATATTTTGATACTCACGCCAGAACCGTTCCATTGCAAATAGCACATTTCAATTTTGCTTTGTAATGCAAAAACTTACACACATGTAACAAACAACTACCATGACAGCTTAGAAGCTGTCATAATAATTCACCACTTCTTCATTCCCTGTTCTTGTCAAGTTCAACATTGTCGGTATTGCAGTTTAGAAAATCTCAAAATATCTCTCAAAAAATGTAAAGTTGTGTTAACATCTCTTGAATTTGTTGAAATCCCCCGAATTTGTTCATATTTATTCATATTTAAGAGCGCGGAATCCCCCTAGCTGTAGAGATTAAGGAAACAATACATACACAAGCATCACATGTACGCTTAAAGTGGTCATCACAGAAACGAAGCTGAGTATGCGCACATGTATACGTATTTTCATACACAGCATGTTTCGTTCCTCTGTTATAAAGTGTGATGTTTGTCTGTATATATTGTTTCTATATGCTTTACCTAATGAAATCGACGACAATTAAAAAAATGAATTCGAAAAAAACGTTTCAAGTTTTGTTTTAATATTTTACCTGAGGATTTTTCAAATAGTCGGGATTAGACTTGAACCCTTTTTGAATGTATATTGAACTATTTAATTTGAACCAATGAATATTGGTTGGTTAAAAAACTCGCAACAGATGAGGAACAAGAGATGGCGTTGTCGTAGATTTAGGAACGGAAAATAGTCATCATATTACCGGGTTTCCTTATCCATTAAAAAAACATCCATGGATATTACTTATCCAGTCCTTTTAAAAACAAAATCTATCCATGGATGAATGGGTGTTGGATAATGGATAATTTGGGGGCCCATTGACAGTGAGCCATTTTTCTTTGTATGGAGTCAAAAAATTGGTTATAATCTATGTGAAAAACATTTCATGCTGCCATTTTATTTTCATCTGGATTTGGATCTGGAGCTCACTTTAATTCTCACCCATTCAATTATGTGCAATCAAAGCGGTGTAATTTTTGTTATAATAAAGCGCATACCACTGTTATACCAATTTTTTATTCGTTTCGAGACCATTTCAAATTATTTTCCGGAGGTCATCTTCTGTTCATAACAAAATCTACAGAATAGGCATTGAAATATCGATTTTGTTACAAGTAAAAAATCTATATATTGAATTGATTAAAAAATATACACTTTTCACTGTATTTGTTACAACTCTTATACTACGAAAAAAAAATTATACTTTTCTTTTAATAATATTCTACAAAATATTTCTCTTTCTCTCTCTTTTTTTCTCTTTTTTCTCACAACATCATAGAAATACATATGTTAAAAATTCCATACATTTGAATTTTGGTAGTATATTTAAAATGAAACATGAAATTTAACAGCTGGCTCAATAGAAGAGTTGAAGTCAAAATAAAAACGTTCTTTGGTGTTATATTTCTCTGTTTGAGCCCGGTTCGTCATTTTATTTTGGCATAATCGTGATTTACCAAATATGATATATCAGCGCAACGTATCTTATGTACAATTGTGAACGCATTTGAGAAATTCAATTTTCCCAGGCTTCATCCCTTAATTTTGCGGCCAATAGCTTTCGTTCTGTGTGGGTGGGGTAAAAATGAATGATTTTTTTTTATTCATGATTTTCAATTTGTTTACTCATACCTTTGGCTTCTTTGAGCACACGTCGTTCTATTTCACGTTCTTCGCGGGCAGTGGACAAGCGCACGCCCAACGCACCAGTAACCAATCGTCTTGCCAAAGCTGCACATGTTTCTGGTCGTTGACGATATGGTTGCAGGAATAATGCACTTTTCTTAGCTCGCGCTTTCGATTCGGCTGTTGCTTGAGTCAGAGGTTTCAGTTTGATGAATGTATGACCAGTGCTCAATGCTCGGGCAGCTAATGAAATGAATATTTGCTTATTAATGTGTTTCCTTGTTTTAAAGCAATACAACTTACCAATTTTTGAGCTGCTAAATACTACTAATGCATGTGTATCGTCCACCCATTTTATGTCGAAACCTAAGTCCTTGTATTCGGAAAAGATCATCATGAGATCCTGTGTTTTGAATTCAACTGGGAAATTGGAAATTTCCAGGACATGTGGAAATTCTTCTTCATCCAAATTAACTGGATCTTGATAGCTTTTATAATCATTTTTCGGTTTACTAATCGAAACTTTGCCAATATTTGATGTAATTTCGGTCATCAGTTTTGGATCCAAACATTCGCCATTATCATCAAAAATTGATTCCCAGTCATCGGTTTCAGCGTTCACAGCCTTTTTATCGGACTTTTCGGTTCGTTTTGTTTGTGTTGTGGAATCTGCATTTGATTGCGTTTCAACATGAGGTAGTTTTGTTTTTTTCTCCAATTTTGATTCAGTTTCAGGTGGTAACCGTTTTGCTGTGACCGATGTAGTTTCATTTATTTCTAAAACATCACTGTCAAATGTTTGCTTTATAATGCGACGATTTCGACGATTTATCTCCTGAATTAAAACAAACAATTACTTATTAACAACGTTGGAATTGACAACGTACAATGAATGTTAAGTACCTTTGACGCTCGCTGAAACTCTTTCTCTTCATTATAGTCTTTATCCGCGGTATTGAGTGAGCTCTCAATTTTACTGCCCTCACATTTGACATTTGTAACGGCCATATTTGTGACTGTATCAAAAGTTTGTGTCTCTAACGAATTTTCTTCCTCGACAACTAACGACGACGGATCTTTTGCAATTGATTCGCTGGTAATATCTTTATCAATAACTATTTCCTGCGTGACTGTTGTTGGTTCGTTCTGTTTTGTTTCAATTGTTTCGATATTCTGAGAGGACGATACGGTTGAAATCGATGCATGAATCACATCTACACTTTCTTTATCTACAACCTCAGATTTTGTGGCAGTACCTGATGTAGGTGCTGTGGGCGGTTGGCCACGACGGCCACGAGGAACATAAACAGCTCGATCTGGTCTTCTTTGACGTTGCCTAATAGATCGTAGTAATAGAATGTTTTGATAATGAAGATTATTTATTAAAAAGAAAACATTCCCAGTCGATACCCAAAGAACCATTTCACGGCGATGGGTAGGCATAAATAGCATTACACTTGGCTCATTGGGTATGGAAAAAGAATTCAAACTTACCTTTGGGTATTCAAATGACTTTCAGGCGGCGATGAATCGGATAGACCAACAGACGAGCCAGCAATAACGTTGTCGCCAAAATTGTTCAATGATTTTTCACAGACGTCTTGCCGAAAAGCTGCAAACAAATTTCGCATTAAATAATTTACATAGAGTTCTTTCTTCACGCAAAATACTCCAAAAATTGATCGAATACTCATAATTTTGCCAACATACAGTATCAATAACTTAAATCGGAACACATGTATTCTTTTGAATTATTCATTCATTTAAAAATTTTCAAAATACACGTATGCGCATAACGTCAGAGAATACGAAATAAAAAAAAACACCTTTGAATGTAATTAAGTCGGCGAATAAACTTTTGACGAGCGGTGAATCTATTCACTCTCTCTGTGTCCCTATCTTTATGTATGATCAAAATTCACTAGACGTATGTACGGCGATAGCAATTAAAACAAATGATTCAATCGCGTTCACGTCATGCGACGGCCTTCAATATTCGAATGAAATAAAGATGTTATGCAAACATTCACTTACAAAACATCGTGTTGCGATGACATGGCTTTCAGTATTTGGACGCAGAATTTTTTGGTGAATGTTTACATACACGTGAAATTGAGCTAACAGTCGGTCACTAAACTACTTATAATTCTTTGATGGAATATTATTTTCAATCGAATGTTTCTGGACGGAAGACGGAAAAGTAAAAATATAAAACTTACTCTTTTATAATAGCACGTACCTTTTATAACATACACGAAATAAAAATTCGATTTGCAATGGAATTGAATCGCTTGATTAGTTACTAACAAAACGCTATACAGTAATTATCAACCATGCATCAATCGTACAAACAGCTGTTTTATTGAAACAAAATTTGAAAGAGCTGTAATTTCGATTATTTAATGCGAGCGCGGTGAATGCTTCAGAGAAACTGTTCCCTAGTTGCCAACTAAATAAAACATAATACCTATTGGATTATGCCAAATCTCTGATTTGTTTTGGTTCTTCTAATATTCACCACCACCATGGCTTATGCCATCGCTTATTCGAGAAAAAAAAAACGAAGCTACTATCCAAAATGAACCGCGTGTAATGCTACCAACATAGCTCCATTTAACAAATACAATCGCACATATGACACTAGACTAGCCAAATTTGGTGTGTTTGTTAATAATGTTATAATGTCTTAAAATACCGTTAAATTCCATACTAGCACACTGTCTATGCACACAAATTGAGTGTATGTGTGTGCATTTTCTCTCTCTCTCTCTTCGTTTTGTGGTAAGACTAACTGGTTTTTTTTTTTCAGCATTCGTTAGCGTAAGATTGTTAGTGGCTTTTGTATTGTTAAATAATATTATGCACGTAACTCTTTATGTTTTGTTCGCAGGTTCAAATAAAAAAAAACACTAAAACTAGTTTGCGGAATGTTATATAAGGAGCTTGATGTTTTTTTGTGATTGTGTGTCAAATACTATACTATCGAATCTATTGAGTTTTTTATGCATTTCAATTCTAATAGGATGTGTTTTTTCCTTATCGAAAGTGAATCGTTGGCGTCGTCGTTATATTTGCATTATTGGTCTCTGTCTCTTTTATGAAAGTAAGCAAATTAATCTCATGACTTACGTTTTATCGTTTTGGCCAATGCATCAAGATCTTTAATGCCCATTGTTGTTGTTGCGATTGTCGTCGTTGCTTTATCACTGGTACGATTCGGTTTCAAGTAGTTTCCGTTTTTTGAATAAATATTCTTTCGTTCGTTATATCTATGATTCAGAAATAAACAAATCCAAAGAATCATTAATTTCTGTAAATGAAGTATTCAAAACAAAACAGAAAAAACACGATAGAACGCTTTTCGCGTTCTTTGAATTAAACATGATACCTTTCGTTGCAGACGTTGGTTGTATTTGTTGCGTTTATATTATGATTTGTATTTGCACGAGAATAGATCAATACACGTCTGTCGTAGCCTTGACTCACCGAAAATGAAGCCAATGAAGGAAACTTTTCACATAATTTATGAATTAGAAAACGTCTATAGCTGTTTAGCGGTGGAAATAATAATACACTGCAATTTATCGAGAGAAAAATAGAGAGAGAAAGATACAATAAGTATTTTTTATATTACAGGGTTCTTTTTCACTTTTTACTATTCAACAAGTCTCATTGTCATTCAATGAGAAACTGAGCGCATTTCAGAGAAAGAGACAGACAGACAGATAGAGAGAGAGAGAAAGAGAAAAAGAAAAACATAAAAAATATGACAAAAGAAAAGAAGATAATTTTGTGTTAAGAAAGAGAAAAGTAAGTGTGTTGAAAAAACGATGGATTACAAAATCAAAAATTAGTATACACTGCACGATGTACACGGAGTGCTCTAGTAAGCAGTTTGCTTCGACAAGTGACATCACATAAATTGCGTTCGAATTGTGTATATATGAAAAAATGGCTTATTCGAATCAACAGCAGACAATGAATGAAATAGGTCAAGTTCATGACAAAAAAAGATACGGTGCGTACATTTTATAACGTTCGGTGAGAACGAGAGAAATCGCGTACATAAATCATTTCGATATTTAAAATCAAAATGATTTTAACTGCATTCGAGCATACATTGTATTAAAACCAAGCATTGCGTGACGAATGATAGTGATTGCATTTCTATTTTGATTTGCAGATGATTTCACATTATTGAACTTTGTACACTTGCATTCGAATTGCCACTGACACGAATTTCTTCTTGAAATAAAACTAAACAGCTGTATATTTATTATGCACGGTCAATAAATTTCAATATTTTCTTATGCTTACCGATTTGCGTTGAAATCACATTGTTTTTGAAATTCATCTAAATCATCTTCGATTTTTATATGAAACTCATCTCTATTGTAATCGCTATATGCATCCAGCTTGAACAGATGTGATTGATTACACAGCGTTTTACACTTGGTTTCTTTTTGTTTTCGCGTATCTATTGCGATCGTATGCAATAGATTACCAATTATTGACGTACAATTCAATGAACAAACGAATTCAATTGTTTTTTTTTTTTTTAATTCGTATGGATATGAACCGTTTTATTGCTTGTGGTCAATTTAAGAAATTTTTTAATTTGTGGACAATAATTTGTTTCATATACTCACGAACAATAGAGAAAAGCGACACAAATAACAGTTGTGCGTTCTCTACGCACAATGGAAAATTTGACACACAAAATTCTCTCTACCAGAACACATATATTTCTCTTTATTATTAAATTTATTTTTGACAGAACCCTATTTGACGTAAGAGAAGTTAAGCAAGTAGACCATATGCTTTCGTTAGATGGCGCCACACGTAACCTTTTCAAATTCGAATTCAATTTTCTGATTAACTTTTCATCATATAAACAATGAGTTTTTTCTTTAAATTTTATCCGATTTTTTTATTTATAAATTGAAGTAAACAATGTAGTTAGTACTTGCCAATGAAAACAATCACTTTAATACAATTTATCAATTGATGTCAGTTAAAATGGGATTGAAAAATCAAACCGAATCAAATCGGTCAAAAATTTGAACTCATTTAAACTTTTCACATTTAGTTTCTGGGAAGCAAAAATTTGCAATTGTTCCTGCACACAAAACACTTTTGGTTATGTTGTCAAATGCATTTGAATATTTACAATTTAAAATACATCTCATACATTTCAACTATAAATAGTTCTTGACAAAAAACGAAATTCAACCTAAAGGTGATGGTCAATTATAAGAGGGATGAAAAACATATGTGTATAATGCGTTACAGTGAGCATTGCTAGTGAAAATCGGCTCAATATTTGCTCAGAGTCATACGAATAGTTTCGATTAGGGATT